AGGTGCACAATATGACCTGGGATGTTATCTAAAAGGGTTAAAAATGTATTTTTCATTTGAGTGTTTTTTGTAAAACCCTTGTTTTAATGTTATTAGCATATTGCTTTTTTACGTGAGTTTCAATATTTAAATTAAGGTCCAAATAAAAAACTGATAATAATATCTGCAACAGATCATAATATCTTGAGGAATGCTTGGTTGATCCAAACAAAATTGAAAGTTTTTTTTATTTTTATCTTCCCATCCTATCGGTAGGTTTCAGTTCTTTGTAGATAAAGTGCTGCCTCAGTACAGGGACTCGGTTATGTCCCACACTCTGATCTACATCCCGTCTTACTTCGACTACATCCGGTTGCGCAACTACATGAAGAAAGAGGAGATAAACTTCACCAGCATCTGCGAGTATTCCAGCAAGTCAGAGGTGTCCCGAGCCAGACACTTCCTCCAGAAAGGGGATAAACAGTTCCTGCTCTTCACTGAACGCTTCCACTTCTACAAGAGGTCAGTACTTGTTAACCCTCCATTGGGTATCCTCACTTGTTTGATGAGCATTCTGGTGATATTTATTCTTGGAATCACTCCCAGGCCAGCCACAGTAAGGCCCTTAAAGGCTGTCTTTATTACCTTTCTAAGAGTTAACATATCACCAATTGCGATAACGCGAAGGATACAGATATCCCTTTTACGGAGTTCAAAAGTTGGACCTCTCACTTCAGGTTTTTTCAAAGTCAGCACTCAAGCCCTTTTTCTCTGGTTTATTAGTGTCATGTGACGGGGTAGTCGTACACTGTAGCTTCTTTATTGTAGTCTGCTAATGATTCAAACATAGAGATGCATTTAGGCTGGAATTGTACTTCAAACGAGAAAGTAATTCTTCAAACCATTCTGAAGGAATTCAGTTTCCTAAGAAAAGAGCCCAAGAATTTAAAGAACAAATGTGAATATTAGGCAATATTGTTAGTTACAAAATGTTTTTGTATCAGATTGGAGGCTGCTGGGAGACATTACACTCTTCACAGTATTTTCGATTGCGCATGAGGCTGTTTAATGCTTTTTTGTGGAGTTATCAAAATAGTGTATAGCAGTAATCAGCAGTATAAATAATAATCTCAACTGCTAAAAGATACTGAAAAAGTGTTCCAGATCATATCATGCTGGTTTACTCTGACTGGTATGTCTGTGTAATGGGTGATAAATGACATATGTGGTATTAGAATGGTCTGGAATATAAATTGGTGAGCCCGGCAGAAACTCTGACCTTTCACTTCATTTATTTTTTTTTTAGGTACACCATCAAAGGGATCCAGAACCTGATATTTTATGGATTGCCCTCCTTCCCCCACTTCTACAGCGAGGTGTGTAACATGCTGGCAGCGGGGGGTCGGGGGTCGGAGGCTAGCTGGACCTGCACTGCCCTGTACTCCCGCTACGATGCTCAGAAGTTAGCTTCCATCACAGGAGCCCAGCGAGCGGGACAGATGCTGCACTCCAACAAGACTGTTCACCTCTTTGTCACAGGAGGGGAAGATGAGGCTTCCTGATGGAGGTGGGCAGATAAGAGAGACCACTTTATAAAACCATGAGAGATATCTACTGTACATTATTACAGTAGGAAGACCCTGGATTGAGTGTAACTACAAAGATGTTGAATGCAGGTCTGTGATCGTGGATTGCCATGTGACACATCGCAGGGTAACTGGTTTGACATAAGCTAAGTGTACCACTTTGGTCAGAATGCTTTCCATTATATTTTGGACAATAAGCACAAAGAAAAACACGTTTGTGGGCTTTGTTTGATGTGTTGTAGGTGGAAGCTGCCCAGAAACATCAAGCCTCAGAGTGAAGAGATCATAAAACATTGGAGGTGATCACTGTGATAAGCTGTAAAAGCATCACTCACCAGATTCATCATAAAGTATAAATATTTCATTATTTTTATTATCTTCCCTATTATTTGATAAGCAATCATATTTGTAGCAATATCTGTCCTGAAGGTGCCGAAGTGCTAAAATGATCAATATCAGTTTTTATGATCGTTACTATGGTGGCATACCCAAAATAGAAGTGTTTAAAATGAAGCATGGGTGTGTTTCCTTTGTATTTTAGGAATTTCAAACCAGAGGAACCTAGAGTTTATAGGGCTAATGCTCTGCCACACAATCCCACAAAAATGTTTTGATTAAACATGAAATGCATAAATACAAATGAAGTGTCTGTGATCAGGTCAGTGATGTATGTATGACTGTGTGATACTAGTGAGCTATTTCAGTTGGCAGTAAAGGGTGAGAGAGTGAGAGGATGTCACAGGTTGGATTTGTTCACTTCTGGGTCCAGCTTACTCAGGTGTTCTGCATATCCAACCTGAAACAAAAACAGAGATATGGCCAACAGCATAAGTTCTTCCCTTTGAAAGAAGATAAGGCACAAAGCCAAACTGGCTCCGTTTAATATGCCCAATCATGTAATTATTAACTCCCTGAGTTACTGCAAGAGTGACTTTGGCCACATAATTATGGTGGGTCCTCCATTGCTAAAGGTGCCTGACAACAGCTATGGACGACAAGACACAGAAGCTGAACCTGAAGCGGGAAGTAGGGCTGGTGGGAGCCGTGTCCCTCATTGCCGGGACAATGATTGGATCTGGGATCTTCATGTCCCCTCAGACGGTGCTCTCCACCATCGGCAGCCCTGGAGCCAGTTTGGTTGTGTGGGCGTGCTGTGGTTTACTGGTGATACTGGCGTCTTTTTGCTACGCTGAGCTGGGCACTGTCATAAGAGAATCCGGAGGAGAGTACATCTATATCCTCAGGACTTCAGGTCCAGTCATCGCCTTCATGTTAATCTTCAGCTCTGTGTTATTTGTGAGACCTGCCGCCATTGCTGGCATCTCGCTGAGTTTTGCTCAGTATGTCGTGGTTCCTTTCTACCCAGACTGCCCCCCTCCGTTGCTGCCGGTGAAGTGCGTGGCAGCAGTTGCGATCATAGTGCTCGCCACGGTGAACTGCCTCAATGTTCGCTTTTCAATGTCGGTCCAAGTGGTTTTTATGTTGGTCAAGGTTCTGGCCCTGGTAGTCATTATAATAGGAGGTTTGGTGATGCTTTTCAGAGGGCACACTGAAAACTTTGAAGACTCCTTTGAAAACACAAATCTGGCCATCAATCCAATTGGTATTGCTTTCTATCAGGGACTGTGGTCCTATGATGGCTGGAACAATCTGAATTATGTTACTGAAGAGTTAAAACGTCCAGAGGTAAGTCAAATATATGGGGTTTCATTGGAATTATCTCAGTGGTATTGTGTTAGTGTTATTGCATTGAAGTTATTGTGTAGGACCAATGAGTAATCCATCTAGACATTCTGGCACGGGCTTGCATTCCTCTAAAGAAATATAGTGATAAATGTTTTCTCAGAGATAAAAAAGGTGAGAAAAGTATGTATGTTTATTACCAGGTTATTTAAACCATGAACTGCTCAAGTATGGATGATACATTTGAATGTTTAAACTTTTATATCAGCCACATGACTTTACATAGTAAACATCATCAATACAAGTATCTCAGGATGTCAGTGGCAGAGACGAGCACCCAGGTGTCCGTAGCCAACAATGCTATTTGTACCCAACCCCGGAAACCCATTAGACACTCTATGTGGACATGTAGCCTACTGTAGGCTATTTGTATTCTACTTAAACCTAACCAACTGCGACGGAAAACTTAAAATAATAACGATAAAAAAAAAACACAGAAAATAAGTCGGGTTCAAAAAATAGGCTTCTCACAGGACTTGCACTTGTGGGTGAAAGTTCTGAATTTGACTCATTCATCCACCACAAACTACTCCCTAAACATACTTTGCCGCTCTTTATACTACAACTACTAAATATTTCGGCGAGCTAACAATTGCAAATTCCATCAGGGTGACTATCTTTTGGAGGCATATGCCCGAACTGATCTACCACTTGCACTTCTGTGGTTTCTTTTTAAGTATCAGTTCAGACCGGTATGAATTTAGTTGATCTTGGAGTCTTTGTTGCCATTTTCCTCTGATACTGACACTGGAGGTTGTGCTCTAGTTCAGCTGACCCTTCCTGTCCCTCTGCAAAACGTTTTGTCACTAAAACATTTGGTGCAAGAATACGTTGCTATTGTAGCACATCCCTCCCTGTGGGTTGAGGGAGTAGAATTAACAAAGAGTGAGGATTTTGTTGGTGATTGTATTTGATCTGAATTGCTTCATACTCTTGTGATGCTACTTTACAGGTTCCCCTCTGGCAACATTGCAAGTCTGTTGTGAAAGCTCTTACAGATAATTTCTGTCTTCTGCTTCAAGGGGTTTCACTGTGATCAAGGAACACATTTCACTAAAGTCATGTTTCCAGAAGAAAAACTGATTTATATCTGACAAGAACAATCTTTGCCATACCATTCACTAAATCAAGGAGCTACTGAGCTTCTATCAAACCCAAAACTGGACTCTGATATTCTGATTGCACCATGATTGAGAAGAAGGGCTGCCATGTCTTAAGCTGGCCACACAATATTTTACATAGAATATAACTGGTTTCAGCCAAAACAACCTTTTGGACACATTGTACCTAGCTGTGTCATATAACGAATGGAGAAAACCTTTAACACCACCAAACCTAGGTGATCAATCAAATGGCTTCAAGAGATTTAAGAAAATATAGTTTGACTGCAGTCAGCAGACTATTTATTTTTAGTTACATCTTGGCACTGCCTCCTGTAATGGAAACTCTGTTTCAAGCCCAATCGTAGCAGAAAAACAGATACGCCTTGCTCCAGAGTGAAGAGTAATTTCAGGTCCCTAACAGTTAACTGTAAATCTACAGCTGTATTCCATAGTACATGTCTAGTGTCCATTGTGTCTTTGAGGAGACAGCAGCTTTTAAAAAATGGAGACCAGACTCAATCTGAAGAGGGAAGTGGGGATTATAGGAGCTGTGTCATTCATTGCTGGAACCATGATAGGATCCGGGATTTTCATATCCCCCCAGTTTGTGCTGTCCGCCATCGGCAGCCCCGGGGCCAGCTTTGTTATATGGACTTTCTGTGGGTTGATAGCCATGCTTGGGGGGGCTCTGCTATGCTGAACTGGGCACAGTCATACCAGAGTCTGGAGCGGAATATATCTACATGCTGCGGACAGCAGCGAAAGTGGTCGCCTTTATGTTTGTCCTCAGCTTCATTGCTGTCATGAGGCCTGCCAGTGCCACAGGAGTTGCTCTGAGTTTTGCTGAATACGTCGTGGCCCCCTTTTACAGCGGATGCAACCCTCCGCAATTGGTGTTGAAGTTGGTCGCTGCAGGAGCTATCATGGTGCTGACCGCAGTAACCTGTCTGAGTGTCCGCTTGGCCACCGCCATCCAGGTGGTTTCCATGGTAGTCAAACTGCTGGCACTGGCCGTGATCATATTGGGAGGTGTTGTGATGCTTTTCCAGGGACACACTGAGAACTTTGAGAACTCCTTCGAGGGAACAAATGTCGATGTCAGCTCCATTGGCATTGCTTTCAGGGCTTGTGGTCTTATGACGGTTTGAACACTTTGAATTTTCTTACTGAGGAGCTGAAACATCCAGAAGTAAGAGTTTCATGTTTTTACAATGAACTTTCATGCTCAAGAGTTACTATAGTCAAGAAATAGACTTTAGACTTTCAGACTTAAAACTTTATTGTCACCAAGGGGACATTTTTCACCATAGCACTGTACATGTCAGACAATAATACATTCAACGGCACAACAGTACCAACATACAATGACCGACAACAGTCTACACCCAGATCTACTCGGCAGGGTCTTTGGCAGCTATGGCTGCAGGGATCAGGATTTTCCCAAAGTATACTTTTAACATTAGCACCTTAGACCCTCACCTACAGTATGGGTTAGTTTATGTATCAGAAGCTATACCATTGTATTGTAAAGTCATAACAATCTTGCGCGAAGACCTGTATGCAGTCATTTACTCAACACACATTTGTGTATTGAAAAAGATTACCACTGCCTTTTAATGAGTTACTGCCAAAAATAACCTGATGTCAGAAGTCTCTGGGAGCCCTCTGTAGGGTGGAACCTGCTGTCTCACCATAGAACTGGGCATATTAATTTTTATTAGTTTATTAAATTACTTTGTATTTCCTCTGGAAATTGCTCCCTTATTCTGGTGTAGGGGTTCATGGGACCCTGTGATTCTGGGAGCCATGATGCTGTGGACAATAGCCCCTGGTAATGTCTCCCAAGGTAAAATGCGAAGGGCTGGTTTGAAAGTGATTCCAAGCTCTCTATGAATCGGCATCTTGGGCATAAAGCAACCGATCCACAAACATTCTGTCTTGTCCTTGTATAGCTGGAGTGGATCTCTTTCCAAATTATGAGCAAGAAGCTGATGTATTCGCTGTGGATGCTGAACTAAGCCAATGTTGTGCTTCATCACCAATTCTGTTTGTTATTTACGTGGACAGAATCTCTTGGCACATCAGAGGGGCAGATAGTGCCTGGTACAGTAATCTCAGCATCGCATCTCTTCTTTTTGCAGATAATTCCCTTTTCCTGGCTCCTTCAGACCGTAAATTGCAGTGCATCCTAGGATGATTGCAGGCAGTGTGAAGTGGCTGGAAAGAGAACCAGCACCTACAAGTAGGAGCCCATGGTATTCTGCTGGAAAAGAGCAGGTTGGGACGAGTTGCTGCTTGAACAAAGGAGTTCAAATATCTTTGGGTCCTCTTGCTCTCAAGTGAGGGAAAGATTGAAAACTGACGGAACATTGTTGGAGCTTTGGCAATGATGGTGTTGTACTGAATAGTGTTAGTGAGGCAGGAGCTGATCCTCAAAGCGAAGCCCTCAATTTACCAGTAAATTTATATTCCAATAATCACCTTTGGGTTGTGACTAAAAGAGTGAATCACTGATACAAGAGGCCACAATGATTTTTCCCTCACAGAGTGATTGGGCTCATTCTAGTGGTAGCGTGAGGAACCTGTCCTCTAGATGGAGCTTGAAGCAGAACCATTGCTATTTCCCATTAAGGGGAGCCAGTTGAGGTGAAAAGCACTTTTCATAAAAGTGTCCCAAACTTAAGACAGTATGGCTACAACAACAATCCATGAAGCAGTGGTTAACACCACATCAAATAAATACCAGACGTGCCAGCTTGTGTCAATTAGGCTGATGATATCTCAGGCTTCCACAGCTTGTAAGATGGAACGACACACAACAACTGTGGGTTCATTTTTGCCATTTTTTTGGAGTAACCTCATATTTGTATTGAGTATCAGTGGATCCCCTGGTGACATTAACCTATCAGCAGAGGATTTACAGTACTAAAATGTGGTGTAAGTAATATGTCATTGATCTATTATTAATTTTTTAGTATTTGCTATGGGTATATATTTATTTATTCCTCTGTAACATGGGAGCCCTAACACAAACCACTCACATTAAGGTTGGAAAAGGAGCATTAAAATTCCTGAATGAAAAAAATGCAGTTGGAGAAAATGTCTGTTCAGTGGACTAGGACTGTCATAATTGGCCAAAAGTGACGCTGAAATATGTGTTCTCTAAAAACACAAAGGTTCGAACTAATTTATCTATTCTACAATCTAGTCTTGCACATTATCTGTTTTGTTTTTTACCATTCAAATAAACTAAATAAAGATTTAGAATATTTGTTGACAGCCCTACAATTGACATCCCATAACAAATAACAGGACTGAAGCACTGAAATCAGCTAAATTATATTCAATATCATACTTAAATTTGTCCTTGCCCTGTTAGTACTTTAAAGACAAGCAGAATAATCTAAATATTAGTCTTACACTGCCAGAGCAATAACCTCGGAACAAGCAGTATTTTAGAAATTTTGTTAATTTTTTTTGTATACAAACTCATGAAAAATGTACTGTGGTGGAAAATTTCTAGGTTAATCGGGAGGAGAGAGTTTGTGTTCTCAAATCAATAATGAAGTCATCAGAAGATTCAAAGTTGTCTTTTTCCGTTTATTCTCTTGCGCAAGAGGGAAGAAAGCACAACAGCCACGTATTCAGTAGACTGCGTGAAACCTTCTTCGGCGAAATGCAATATTCAACATCATTTATGCATACAAAGGTTCACGCCTTTACAACTTCAGATAATGCGTCAAAAGGGGAGTAAAAGTATTTCAGACACAGGATGTCTGTTAGTCAAGGTCTCTCTGTGTCTCCGTCTTACCAACAAAGAAACAGTGTACAAGATATCATAACAAGACACCTGGATACTAAACTAATTAAATCTACAGAACTACTGTTCTGTGTCTGCACTTTTAATACTTACATTCTTTAAAACTAAGCATAATACGATAATATATTTTCCCATCACAGTACCTACCGCTGATTTAGACACAAAATCATTAATATCAATGAAGCTTTGCTGTAAAACGGGAAAGCATGATTGTCTGTGAAGACAGCGTGAAGTTATGAGCAAAGTCGAAGGCTACGCCTTGGTTTAGTGGCTATTTAAGGAGGTTAACTTCCTGTTGTACATGGCTTTAAAATTACCCAACATTTAGCAGTTAATTTACAGCCAGGTCTCTGTGTGTCCAGTGTCTTCTGCCAATGCCTTTCAAGACGGAGCAGCTTTCAAACGATGATGAGTGACAAACAGAGACTCAATCTGAAGAGGGAAGTGGGGATTATAGGAGCTGTGTCATTCATTGCTGGAACCATGATAGGATCCGGGATTTTCATATCCCCCCAGTTTGTGCTGTTGGCCATCGGCAGCCCCGGGGCCAGCTTTGTTATATGGACTTTCTGTGGGTTGATAGCCATGCTTGGGGGTCTCTGCTATGCTGAACTGGGCACAGTCATACCAGAGTCTGGAGCGGAATATATCTACATGCTGCGGACAGCAGGGAAAGTGGTCGCCTTTATGTTTGTCCTCAGCTTCATTATTGTCATGAGGCCTGCCAGTGCCACAGGAATTGCCCTGGGTTTTGCGGAATATGTCGTGGCCCCCTTTTACAGCGGATGCACCCCTCCACAACTCGTGGTGAAGTGCGTGGCTGCAGGAGTTATCATGGTGCTGGCCATAGTCAACTGTCTGAGCGTCCGCTTGGCCACCACCATCCAGGTGGTTTCCATGGTAGTCAAACTGCTGGCACTGGCCGTGATCATATTGGGAGGTGTTGTGATGCTTTTCCAGGGACACACTGAGAACTTTGAGAACTCCTTTCAGGGAACAAATGTTGATGTCAGCTCCATTGGCATTGCTTTCTATCAGGGCTTGTGGTCTTATGATGGTTGGAACACTTTGAATTTTCTAACTGAGGAGCTGAAACATCCAGAAGTAAGAGTTTCACTGTTCAATTATCATCAGTTTAAGAAATGTTTATGCTCTTGGCAAATAGAGAGATGATATACTTACGCAATCAACGTAGAGTGTAGATCTATAATCAAGATCTTACATCTTTCTTATCACTCTGTTCATTGATTTAGTTGGGAAATGAATGGAGTTGCCTCTGCTTTTTCGATATACGAATAATCATATCTAGACAAGGAATTGCATTATGATGTGAGTTTGGAATCAAGAACTGGACGAACTGTTCAAAGATTTACAACTACAGTGGATTTAATATGTAATCTAAGTAACACATTGAGCTGTTTTTATTGTCTCTCACACCAGTTATTGTGTGTGAGATGTGTCACTTCTTTATCAGGATGTGTCCTTCCGTCAGGGTGAATAACAACTACAGTATTTTCATCATCTCTCTGATCAACGTAACAACATGGTGGTCAAGGAACCTGAAGCTCTGAAAATGAAGCGGGAAATTGGTCTTATTGGAGGTGTTGCACTAGTTTCTGGAACCATGATCGGATCCAGAATATTCATGTCGCCACAGTTTGTATTGGCTTATGTGGGAAGCCCTGGGGCCAGTCTGGTGATCTGGGCTCTCTCGGGACTTGTAGCAATATTTGCAGCGCTGTCCTATGCTGAGCTTGGGACAGTCATTTCTGAATCTGGTGGGGACTTCATCTACATACTGAGGATCTATGGTTCATGCCCTGCTTTCTTTGCAGCAGTCACTTTTATCCTGGTTGTGAAGCCTTTCGGCATTGCAGCAATGGCAATTAGTATTGCAGAGTATGCTCTAGCACCCTTTTACACAGGCTGCCATCCTCCTCAGCTAGTGGTAAAGTGTGCTGCAGCTGTTGCTATACTGGTTGTTGCCACGGTCAACATCTTGAATTCTCGGATTGCCATCAGAATCCAAGTGGTCTTCTTGGTGGCCAAGGTGCTGGCATTGACATTCATCGTGATTGGAGGAATAGTGGAGCTCATACAGAGCAGCAGTGTCATTGTGGAAAATTTGAAAGTTGAGAATGCATTTAAGGGCACTCGGTACTCTTTAAGCACTCTAGGAACAGCAACCAGAGGCAGTTGAAAGGTCACGGAATAGTTTTAGGGAGAACATGTAGTACACACAGTTGTTATTCACCATTCATGTTGATCTGGGCTGTATTTTTTATGGTGTAAAGTTAAAATGGATCATTTAATACAAACAATGATTATAGAGAGTCACAGGCCAGTACATTTTCTGTTTTATTCCAAGAACACATTTACCATAATAGAGGTAATTTAAATCACTTTTTTGTGACATCTCTCATACTGTTATTTGGGAAATGTTTGGGGTCATAAATTTAGAAAATGTTTGTGGAGAAAGCATGAAAGTAGTGTAAATGTCAATAAATGTTTTCAAGCTGAAGTCAATCCCTTATTTCAGTGCCAATAGTATCCATTGTGCGAGCTTGTACACATTAACCAGAACATAAAACAGATTTTGTTTTCCTCCAGGTGAATCTTCCTAGGGCTGTTGTGATAGCCATTTCTCTGGTGACTGGCTTATATCTGCTGGTGAATGTGAGCTACCTAACGGTAATGACGCCGAGAGAGCTCATGTCCTCCAACGCAGTAGCAGTAACATGGGGGTAAGACAGCACCTGATGTCACGTATTCTTGCTGTTAAAATTACAATGTTTTAAAGGAGCATCAAAGGAGTACTCTACCAGTTTAGCATTGAACTCCTATGACATATTCAGACTCACTGTGGTTTTTTTTCAAGTATCAAATCGATTCAGTAGAACTACAGATGTTGTCTTTTTTGGTTCCATACGCATCTTTCTTAATTGTCAAAGCCTGGTGCCTACTTTTCCCACAATGCAACATGGCCACAGACAGTTCGGTCAGAGATCCGGGTGTGTTATGCTATTAGTGGCCAATGTAGCCTCGAGCCACTACCCTAAAGCCGACATGAGGAGCGCTACGGAAGAATGAACTCATATATTTTTATATCCATGTCACTCGATTCCTTTTATTTTCAAACTTGTAATCTTCTGCCCAGACTGACGGTGGCAGGAATCTATCAGATTCCGCACAGCCCCCCTCTGGAGCTACAAACATCTTCATACAACTTCTTTCACATATGCAGTAGTGCTTCCTAAAACCTGTACTTTGATGTGTAAAAATCGGTTCCCCTTCAATCGGAAAATAACTTTATAATGTCCCCCTGTCATCAGCCTGGAGCAGAAGCACATCAGGAGAGATTACCATGCATTTATTAGAATAATTAATTATACGCAGTTAAATGTCAGCGAATCTGAGAGAGTTTATGAATCAACAATTTCAACCGTGAAAAGTAATCTGAATAATGTATCCAAGCCCTGTGATGAACTTTCTTCGTGTAACAGGCGGCTTTTAAAACAATTGGAAAGGGTGCTCTTGCAGCTTTTGTTGAGAACTTCCACCTTGTTCCACAGGAATAAGGTGTTAGGAAGCTGGGGCTGGATCATGTCTGTGGCCGCAGCGTTGTCTGCGTTCGGTTCACTGAATGGGACGTTCTTCAGTGGTGGCCGCGTGTGCTTCGTTGCGGCCAGGGAGGGACACATGGTGAGAGGCTCTTCTTGTGATTATATTGTCCAGCACGAGACTGTTGACTCAAGAGTTTTCACTCAGACCCGTGTTCTCTTTGTAGCCAGACATTCTGGCCATGGCTCACATCCACAGACTGACTCCGTCTCCGGCCCTGATCTTCACCACCGTAATCTCTCTTCTGGTGCTGATCCCCGGAGACTTCCAGAGCATTGTCAACTACTTCAGGTGAGTAGGATTTTGCTTGTATTTAGTGTTGACATTTCTTCTGCATTACTTGTATAAAGAACTGTTTGTATTTGTCTTCATTGCCGTTGTCAGTTTCACTGCCTGGTTTTTCTATGCCATCACCATGTCTGGACTGCTCTATCTCAAGATTAAGAAGCCGGAGCTCCCCAGGCCGTACAAGGTCAGTGTCACACACGTTCAATCTCCTCATATATTTTTTTTTTGTCTTTTCGTTAACACTGGAGGAGAATTACCTTGCGCCTGTCCCTTCCTCTCTCCACAGGTTCCCATCATACTCCCCATACTGGTCATCATTGTGGCAGTATTCCTTGTGCTGGCACCCATCATAGACGATCCTCAGATTGAATACCTCTATGTGACTTTATTTATCTTCAGTGGAGCTATAGTCTACATACCCTTCATCCATTATAAGCTCTGCCCAGGGCTTTTGACCAAGTTAACAGTGTTCCTGCAGCTGTTCTTGGAGGTCGCACCAGCAGAGAAGAACCTGTGATTTGGGCAGAACGAATGAAACATTGCAGTTTACATTCGATACAAACCTAGTGTTGCCTCCCGTTTCTCATTGACAAATTGGGCAATCTGATATGTATATTTGCAGATGTTCCTAGTCAATTTAAAGAGCACATGAAAAGAAATATCATTGTGAAATAAATCCGTTTTCAAAATGTCAATCTCGTACGAAAAATGTGAAATATGTCAGATTGTTTTCTTAAACATTTTTTGCCTGTACAACAGTAGGTGGCTAGACAGAGCCTCCAACATCTGAAACCTGTTATTGTGAATTTGTGTTTGACAAAACAGCAATTGGTTATGTGCACACCGCACAGAGAAGCTCAGATTACAACACACACTTCCTTCACTATAGACATTACTCCAAAATTATCTTTACATAAATAGTTGTTCGCTGCAATATTAATGCTCTGAATGTTGTACAGAGAACCTTTAATTTCCATTCCAGTTTATTATAAATGCTCATTTACAAAAGGTTCCAAATCAAAGATACATAAATGTATTTTAAATAAGTGTTTGCAACAAGAAAGAAACAGGATTGTATAACAATTTTCCACTTTATTTTGTTTTCTTGAATGATAGGACATATTTGATGTGGGGCAGCAGGAGTCAGTGACAGGAACCTGCACAAAATAAACACTGGAGAGAGATTGTTCTGTTCTCCACAAACACCGATACCAGCGTGTAAACAGTGTGCGAAACAAAAAAAGGCATCTCAACAACTATTGGACCATTTACTTTTCATCTAGCACCATCATCAGGTCAAAATTTGAATTTGTCCAGTATTTGGGTTTCGAACCAAATACCTGCAAAACTACTGACATTCCCATCAACCCCCGTTGTTTGTTGTGTTTAGTGCTAATTAGCAAATGTTAGCAAGCTAACACAAAACTAAGATGATGTCACCTGGAGCATGTTAGCGTGATGACATTAGCAATTAGCTCAGTCTCACCGCTGTGACGGTAGTCTTGTTTTCTTAATACTAGCAATCTCCTGCAGCCTGTAGGTTAGGAGTTGTGCTGGGCTACAAGATTAGTAATAAGACATCTCAGCACAAATGAGCTTTTTGAGTCTTGCATTCGAAATAAACACTCAAACGGAAAATGTGAATAAAAAAAAAATAGAGTTTATTAAATAATTGTTATCCACCAAAAGGATGAAACAAGATGTGGCCAATTTATAGTGCAACTTTCACATGATGAAGGATTGTTCAACACAGAGCAGGGAAGGGAGAGAGGTGTGTTAGTGGGTGTGCATACACAGACCAAATTTCTGTATGAAACACAGTCAATCCAGTCCATCTGCGGACATCTTGATGTTTCTTTGTTCGGCTTTACCATTCTGTTACCTGACAAATTTAGCATTTACATTTTTTCCACGTTTGGGGGTCTCAGAAAATAATGAGCTGTGTGACCACTAAAATAATGTTGCAATGTTCAGATATCTTGCCCTTAATTAAGTTCCAATTTAACCAACACAGTTTGAAAAACAAAAAGGTATTTGTTAAGGGTGAGTGTGTAATTTGTGTGCGTGTGTTCAAGAGTCCTTTTTTTGTTTTTCAAACTCCAGTTGAGGAATCACTCAGCTCCAGCTTTCTTCTCTGTGCCGTTGGAAGCGCTTGACTTGCTTTCAGGTGCATCTTTGCAGCTCCGCCCCCCCCGTCCCACTCCCGCTGCCTCCCTGTGAGGACCGGTGGTACAGCATGCGGAGCCGCTCTGCGTTCACGTGTGCGTCTTCTGCCCCCTCGCAGCACCTAATCCACGACTGGGGAATGGCCTCAATGCCATAGTGGGCCCCGGCGATGGCCCCCGCCATGCAGGCTATGGTGTCTGTGTCCCCTCCCAGGGCCAGGCTGTACGCTATTGTCCTCTCCAGGCCGCCGTAGTTCGCCGGGAGGCACTCTCTGGGCTGCAGGCAGTGGAGGACGCAGAAGATGGCGGTGGGGACCGAATGGAGCGCCGCAATGCCGTTACCTGGGAGGGCAGACGGGAAGATGTTGAGTGATAGGAAGTTGGGAAAATTAAATTTGAGCATGAGCTGTTCACAAGGCAAACATGTTAAGTAAATATAGCTGGGTTCAGTGGGGCTGCAACACAGAAGACAGTTCCATCGCCCCTATTGAAACAATTCAATCGCTCTGTCCAAATACGATAAAATCTTTAACTCAACAAGAGCAGAAAAATGTAGATCATTTCTCAACTACAGAACGGCTTTCATGGTTTTCAAGATCCCTACGGAGGAAATGGAATTCCATCCTACGGTTATGTGTTATCATGAAAACGGTTGGATGGAGGTGAAACGAACAGTCCGTTAATTAAATAGTTGCGCACTAATTTACCGCTTCTGGGTTTCTTCATCTTTCTAATAGTAGACTGAATATCTTGTGATTTTGGATTGTTGCTTGAACAAAACAAGCAAAGTGAATAAGTCAACTTGGTCTTCAGGAAACTGTGAAAGGTGACATTTCCCATATTTTAAGACGAATGATTAATTGAGAAAACGTGCGTCAGAGTAATCAATACAAACTGTCTTTGGTTGGGACCCTAGATAACAATAAAAATAGAATACTGTCTGTATAAAAATATAGGTGTTGGGAACTGTCAATGGAGGGACAGCAAAGGATGGATGGGTACTAAAAACCTTTAAGATTAAATCGAAGATGAACAGATACTGACCCAGCTCAGAAATGACCTCCTCTATGCTGACCGTGCTCCTGTCCATCAGGTCTCTAACTCTGTGGAGGCGCTCGCAGAACGGCTTCTCTGCTTCTTTTAGGCTGGACGGAAACACGGTGTTAAAAGAAGATTTGATGCTAAATATGCCAATGAACAGCAGGTTACATCTCGGACCTCGTCATGTACCACTCACATTCTGGCATCGTTGCGTGTCTCATCGTTGCTCTCCACTTCCTCCATCTCTGTGATCAGCCTGCTGATGAACTGCTGAGGCTTGTCTATTGCCCCCTGCAGGGAGAGGTGCACAGCTAATGCCTGTAGCACCGCACCGTTATAACCCAGAGAGCAGGAGTGGGTCAGCATGGCACCCTGTCGGGCGCACTGGAGAGGGAAAAAAGGAAAGTCATCAAAACCAACGAGTCAGTGGTCTTTACCTGACTCGGGTCCTGGTGATGTGGGACTTGACTTGGCATTAAAGTTACTATCAATTTCTAGGCTTATGTATTTTTGTGTGTTAGATATATATCGTTTTAAATGAATGAAAAATGGGAATTGAACTTAGTGGGCTGAATGTTTCTCACTTGGGCCACAGTTTTTTTTATGACTGGGCAAGAAATTAAACTAGTGCACACATTTACAGACTCACTGAGACATAGCAATTCATAAAATGTGAACAGCTTTAACATGCATGTCACCAAGGATGTGTTTTTTTTTTTTTTTTGCCCACTGCTCACCCTTTTAACATCAGCTGGATCAGGGAAAGCCAGCGCGAAGGGAGCCGCCCTCATGGCTCCCCCGTTCCCAAAGGAGCCTCGACCATTAAACTGGTCTTTGGCCGGCTGGTACACGTCACTGAGCTGAGGGGACGACAGCTTCTTCAACACCTGGATCACTCCAGAACCATAGCCACGACCCGGGGACATGCTGTACTCCTTAGCAAACCTAGAGGGGTGAGACACCAGAGCTTCAGTTTGTGTGTGTGTGTAAGTGTGACCCTCAACAAAAATATTGCCACCGTAATACACTCTGCAGAAGAAGCCATTGTTGTCGGCAGTGTGCACTTGAATACCTGCGAGCCATGTCCTGCTCATCAAAGCCGACACGGGTGAGTAGAGACTGGACCACACAGCGTGCCATTGCAGTGTCGTCACTGTACTCAAGGATACCTAACACACACACACACACACACACACACACACGAACATCTTGCATCACATATCAGTATTACTAGAATTTCAGCACTCTGTAAATTAAAGAAATTAATCAATTCTTTGGTGACTTGTCAAGTAAAGTTTGTTCGCCATTTTTCTCTGATGTTAAAGTGAAGCTTGGTTTTCTCAATATTAAATGGGATACTTCGGGTTTGTGGAGGTCCTTCTGGGTACCCATAACTGGTGCCCATTTCCTATTATTTTGATGTATTGCTGTAAAGTATGGTAGAATAAATAGATGGGAGTGTTTCAGAATGACTTCAGGATTTGCAAGTGTTGGTAAGCCCCCCATGTAACACTTACTTCACCAAGATCATTACCCCATAATAATATCAGGTATCTGGGTAACAGCAAGCTAGTACATCCTTACTGTATAACAGAATTGAGACCAAACGTTTCAAGAGTAATGTATCTCCCACTGCTATCAGTGCCGCCCTGTATTATGGTAACGTGGTTTCATTTCCCGCGGACACTGGTATGAAATCTCATCCTTTCACTTACCACTCCCTTTGGTCTCGTCGTCCAGGTTGCTCAGGTGCTGCAGCACGCTCTCCATGGGGACCTCCTCCGCTCCTTCAAACTCTCCGCCGACACAATCTCCCAGCACAGCCGCGACCAGCGCTCCTCTGAACCGGGACAAAGACGCCGCCGGGCCCCCCGCTGCCGCTGCCGCTGCCGCTGCCGCTGCCGCCGCCGCTCTCACCGCCGTCACTGCCATTCATTCGCTGGTGAAGAGACTTCTCAACGTACAGCTGAGGAAAACACCCCGCTGGTTGGCCGACCAGACTGTCGGACAGGGGAGAAGATACAAAGCAAGCGATGATAACAACAATAACAAATGTCGCCTCAACTCCGCCTCTCTGCAGTTTCCTGAAAACGTTTTGATGGCCGTTTGACCCCGATGAGAGCGTCGGATCGGCGCACATAGAAATACGCTTATATAGAAGAGGCTTCCATTACCAGACAGGCTGCTGTCTGCTGTGGTTTGACATTTCTATAAAAAGGAAATGCCTTCGGTACCGCAGTGGATGCAATACATGCAACCAACTGTGTGTTAAAAAAAAAAAAAAAAAAAAGAAAAAGATAATTATCGGTGCTTTTTGTTAAAGTTTAAAATGGGACATCAGTAGAAGTAGACGTGTAGACTGTTTTGCCATTGTTAGCACCGAGCTCACTCTTCTCATGCCCGCAGTATGCTGTAGCTTGCGCAGATAACCTCATATTTACGGTAGAGCCATGCATTTGTTAAGACCGCCCTCTGCTGTATAGGAGCGCTGGCCCTGACAGGATGAAGTATGGCCCTCACCAATAAATGGGTCAATAATGTAGAATAGTCAAAATGTAGGACAAATCACAGGGGCAGTGCCTTCTTTCCTTGAGGGTTGGTCTTATTCTTAATTTTGCTTTTTACAATTTGTCTTGAGTCCACATAGTCAGACCCCAGGTGGTAGCCGGCTCACTGGTCAAAAAAGAATGAATGGATGTAACTGCAGTCGTTTTCTAATCATTTCCGATTAAAATAAGATTTTAAAACGTCTGTAACCCATTAGAATTATTTGATTAATCGAGTAACAGCTACCCTCACTTAGGGCTATGCTTTTGCTTACAAGGGTGGTGACATTTTACAGACATTTCTTAACCCAACTTAACATAATACAATTAGATTTAAACTGTGTCTTAAGTATATACCTACCCTTTTAATAGCCACATATTGTAATGTTTCTATTAGCAATCAAACACATTTGCAGAGGGACCGAAATCCCTTTCTAATCAAAAAACAATGCATCATGCTGCTTAGTTATGTTAATATTCATTTTGTATTGATTGATTGAGACCAGTTTGTCGGATTGTGGGAAAATAATATGTATATGTTTTTTTGCTGTGCATCAAGCTGAATAAACCGCAGTGCAACCATAAAACAACAATCATCTGACTGTTTATATCCAGTTCCGTGGACGTTCAAAACTGGAATTACCGTATTGAAGCGAATAGAGCAGGGCGTCTTTTTTCGAGACGGCATTTGAAAAAGCGGGGTTAGTAATGTGGTAGTCTACATGGGAGGACTAGAAAAGTAAAAGGCATTAGGCATTTCTAAAAGAAGTCTACGCTTATACAACATAAGTATCAGTTTATCAGGAGCAAAATACCATCACTGACAACTTCCTAACATGCCAACAGCAAAAGACGGCGAAGAGCCACCCAAAAATACGGTAACGCTATCTTCCCCACCGTCTTCTTCTTCGTCGTCTTTATATTTAAAGGACCAGTGTGTATGAGTAAGTGGATATATTGGCAGACATTAGATAATGTGTATTCTGTTTTCATTAGTGCATAACGTTAATCGCATGAAACTATGATTCGTTATGCCTTTGCTAGCTTAGAATGAGCCTTTCATATCTACAAGAGAGATAAGCTGGCCCTCTTCAACGGAGCCCGCCATGTTGCACCGCCATGTTTCTACCGTGTCCCACAAAGGACAAACTAAAGACTGGTTCTAAACAGGGCCTTTGACGTTTACATTGAAGTGTCTGCATGAATGCACCGGTTGGAAGGTGAAGAAGAAGACATATTGTATTAAGTGGTTGCTGGTGCGGGCTACGCATTTGTGTTGTGAAAAGTTTGAGAACCCAAATGTTGACAAATGGAGGATCATACTTATTTTTTAGCACAAGAAAAAGCAAAGGAGCGTGAACCCTCGCTGTCATAGAAGTGCAAATGTTAAGAAACAAAACGAAAGCGGGACAGGCGACGACAGAAAACCAGGATAAATATGGTGTGGCCTTTCGTACATGGAAATCGCTGATGAGGGACAAATGTTTTCAGAGTGACGCCGAAGTTGCAAGTTTTCTGCTGAACTTAAAGGCCACCGTAGGTTCTTCTACAGTTCTTCACGCTTGGACAGTCTATAGTTTGGAAGCGGGGAATACAGTTGCATGCAATGCGCAACTTCACCGCTAGATGCCACTAACGGCTACAACTGGCTCTTTGGCCAATTTATACGTAACGTTAACACGTTTCTAAACTAAGTTACATCCAAAATCATTAGGTACTTGTGCGACAGGTGCTTCACCTAACCTTGCTGGCGTTAGCTGACTTAAAGTGACCATGTCTCTTCAGTGAGTTTACAGCTGCATTGTTTTTGTTAGTGTTGTTAGCTGCTTGCGTACATAAGTCATAACCCGAGAAGGGTGGGTGTTTGGAAGCACAGCGTCTGCAGCATAATTAAAACATGGCGGAGTCGGAGGAATTTAGACTTAAACGATTAAAGGTAAGAAATATAAACATAATATATTCAAAGCAACACTCAAACGATAAATTGGTTTGCTGATATCTACATGACATTCCGTTATAGTGGGCTAGCTTCTAGTCGGGATGTGCATATTGAAGCTAACGTTAGCTCGCTAGCCTACCGTTACGAACCCGTAGCTCGCTGCTATCCTGCACTGATACACACCGCCACGCCAAGCTGCGCCTATAACAGCCGGACGACTTGATAATGTGAAAACGACCATATTCCATAGGATATGACGCAGGGCTTCTGATGAACCCCAGCAGCATTTATTAACCCAGCACCGCAGCTGATGACTGGTTCCACAAAGGTTGCATCGCGGAGGGCTGCTGCGAACAATAAAAAGTGGATATTTTATTGAATTTAAGTACTAGGCATGCGAGTTACTTACTTAAACATAATGTTTACTCAAACTCCAGCGACTACTAAGATCTCTCACTGGATCACTTGGTGAGTGTTTCGGTATACGTTTACAAGTGTGCCAGAACGCGATACATTTGATGAATGTTGAATGGGGTTTGGTGGGACGCCTTCTCCACACCGGACAGCATTTGGCCTGGATCACTAGAATCCACAATAGCAAGACATTGATAGCATTAAGGTTCGTTTAGCTAGTTCCCTTAAACGTGGACACGAAGAGCTTGTATTCAGTGAGGGGAGGACGTTATTTAATGATATTGTACGGTTCCTCGTGTTAACCCAAACATATGCTCACCTTACCTCATAGACGGAGAGACTACATTATTTCTTCCCAGCTCAACATTCAAACACACTGAAACACACGTAGATTGATGTGATTTTTGTGCATAGTACTGTCACTTTTGTGTTATTACTTATGTTATTATGCGATGGTGATGGCTTGAATTTGGCTTTCCAGCCATTTGTATCTAAAATGGGTTTGTTATTGTAGGCAGTCTGTGTGCAGTATAGGCACTTGTTTGGCACTCATGTCTATAGTGGATGAAGACAGACCTGCACTGTATGCAGTAGTTGGACTAATATACCTTATTCTGTGGTCAGCATTTTGACATGCGATAACAAGAACGGCACAAATGTAATCAACAACATTAAAGGTGGCTGCACCTACACAGCCCTGGTATTGTGCATGTTGTGTCTGTGATATGGCTGTTAAATGGACCAGAGCCATAATTTGTGTGATTTAGATCCACCTGTGCTCTTCCCGCTACGACAAGAACATAAAGGTCTACAAAGGCCTTAAAATGTAACCACTGATGTTACAGGTAACCGTAGATACACCAGTGCTTAGCTTTCGATTGCCCAGTGCATAATTTAAAGTGAAAAGTACAGTTGTGATGTACAAATGTCCCACACTATGTGCAGCTGACACATAGGTAAACACTGTCACATTGTTGTCTGAGATGAGATTAGCTGGAGGTTTGTGGGTCATTTCACAATCTGATGGTTCATTAAATTGAAAATACAAAAATGTAAAAACAGATGATCAGGTGTTTTTATTCCTTAAATGAGTCTGAGTAAAGAAGTGTGTGATATGTTTAGTAAATCTTTGAAGATAAAGTTGCAGCTATAGTATTTATAGTTGGAGTAACAGTTTCTCAATAATGAATATTTTGTTACTTTGAGGTTTAAAGCAGTTATTAGGTTTGACAGTGAGGAATTGAAGATGAATGTGCATTTTTCTTTGAGTGCTAAACAGGAATTCCCAAACCTTTTTCTTCCTTACAGCACGAGCAGCGCCTGTCCAGAGTGTTTGACGAAGTGATGGGGCTTGGAGACTTTGCTGACTCCTCCAGGGGCTCTGCCAGCTCTTCCCGGAGTGGAGGTCAGGACGAGACAAAGGCAGTAGAAGAAACTTCAGGACAAGGGGAACACCAACCAGTAGAAGAAGAGGATAGCAACGGCAGCAGTCAAGAAGAAAAGATGGATGAGGGGGTGGGAGAGTCATCCTTTCCTCGCAGTTCCTCCCCTTCCACGGTCCGACCCTCCTCGTTTACCATGGGAGCTAACGAAAGAGGAGGAGGAAGTGGAGGGGCCGCATGTGATGACGCACTGGATGGCCTTCCTGCGTTTGGGCCAGAAGAAGAGGAAGAGGAGGAAGATGACGAAGAAGAAGATGAAAACTGGCACTTTTCCCTGCCAATGGGCAGCCTGGAGGATGCTAATGTGGGTAAGGCAAACCGAAAAGCATTCAAACCAAGATTCGGAAACAACGCAACTCCAGGCGAACCCTCTGCCCTTCAGCCCAGAGAGGAGGAGGAGGAGGAAGAGAGGGAAGGGAGCACAGAGTCTGCTAACACCTCTCACTCCTCAAAGGACCACACACCTGAAAACAGCCGAGGTAAAGAAAGCTGCATGCACAAGAGAATTTAGACAGTTGTAAAGGACAAGATTGCTCACTAATGCCATATTTTACACATTGAGTTCAGTTCATTTGTCACAGAGAGTGCTGTTCAGCCTGTGAACACAGTTGTATAATGTCCTCTGTGGCTCCAGAGGGAGCTTCCTGCAGACTGAGAAAAATAACCCTGATGATGTCATTGTGATGGCACCAGGTTTATTAGAGCTTTGGAAGAAATGGGCATTAACCAGGCAGGGAGGGTCTCATGAAAGACACAATTGAGTTTTATTATGGCCAATGTATGGTCCAGTATTTGGAGGGGCCTTGACCTATACTTGAGACTTGGGCATTCTATTTACCTCGTAAACTGGAATTAGAAGCTTGGAAAGACGTCCCACCCGAGTTGACTGCGTTGCAGTACAACAAGCCCAAAAACTCAGTGGGGTTTGCTATAGCCATACCAGTTCACAGCAACATGGTCACAGATGGGATTTGGACAGTATTATAAGTATGACTGATTTAGTGGGATAGAAGTGCTAATAAACAACATATTGCTACAACTTTTTTTTTTTTTTTTTTTTACTATTGATGAGCAGAGCAGCCATTGTTTTTTGAGGTCTGTCCTGGTGTGGTTCATCCGAGAGTTCGGACGGTGTTCCAGTTTGACATTTTCACCTGAGTACTTGGTCCGCCTTCCCAGTTCAAATGGAATGCAACATAAGTCGAGATGTCTTGACCTCTGCGTTAATGTTCAATCTTTTTCATAAAATCTGTCTCTTGTAAGTCTGTCATCTTTATGAAGGTGCAGTGTAAATGACTGCAGTGGCCTTTTAAGTGACTTTGGCTTGTCATCGCATGTAGTTCGTGCTCTGTGGTTGCACCATTGGCTCTGGTTGGACATTCATTTGTATTCTCAGCATATATAACTAAACTGTTCAACAAGTTCTCGGGTCGTCACATGAAAATGGCATCCTTGTTTGCTTAGTTTCTCTCTATTTTATTCTACATTATGTATTCTATTTGTTTTCTTTTCTACCCTTCTGTCAGATGGAGGTGTCCTGAACCAGACAGAGGAGACTGAAGATAGCCAGGAGGGAGAGGTAGGGATCTGGAAAGATTGTCATGCAACTGCAATTCTAAAATCTTTGAACCTTCAGCAGGTGATTATGAATACTCTTTATTATTTCAGAGGTCAGAGGCAGCTCCGATGGAGGACAGTACTCCCCCATTGCCTACTACAATCAATATCAAAGATGAGCCAATCGATGAGGGCTACGACAACGCTTTACTGCCTCAGAGCTCCATCAGACAGATCAAAGAGGAGCTGGAGAATCAGGAGGTAGGTGTGAGGAGAGATCTGCTGTTTATGTTCAGTATGTGTAGATTTGTAATTTCCATATGTAATAATAGGAGAGGATTTCACCAGAATCGAATGGTATATTTGGATTGAAGCTGCTGACGGCTCATACTGTGTGTTGATTGTTACTAATTCTAGAATGTTTTTATAGCAATACAGAAACTATTCTTGTTGTCTTCAAATCAATAATTTGATTATATGACTTCCAACAGTACTGCCTGGAAATGCCCAATTAAACCAAATCTGATATCTTGATGTGTGGTTATTTCAGGAGGAGTTGAGGATCAGCTCCGTCTACTCTGTAGGTGGAGGGAACACCTTTACATCCCCTTCTGGTGAGTTCACTTCTTTGTTCTTTGTGACCTATTTCTTCTCATTTGAACATCAGAGTTTATATTTTGTAGCGGTCGTCTTGTGCCCGGTTCATGTTTGTCAGGTAGATAAGAAAGAGACATCAGCAGGAAACTAATGTGGGTTGTTGGTCAAAGTCAGTGGCTTCAACGCATGAACAGGAAATGCTGTGGGCAGTTAGGTTATTGCCGGCAAGAGCTTTTGGGTTAGTTTGACCACGCTTAAAGGACCAAACCAGTGGTTTTATTTGAGCCAAATAACTACTGTCTGCTTCCACCTTCCGTTAGTGCCACTCATTTCTCAAGACATGCGTAACAAGCCATATTTTAACTTTTGTAGTATTTTTCTAAATCTTTTATATTGTCAAATGTTAGGTGGTACACCCACCTTAAAATGTAGTCCTTCACCTGCCAAAACACACGTCCACATTTATAACTCGCTGTACTAAAATCCTCCTGTGTGGTTGGATCGGTTAGCAGGACAGATATCCTGCAAGGAGGGATGAACAACTTTGTCAACATTTCTGTGAATCTGCATGAGAGCTCTGAAATCAGGATGACTTGTCACACATGTAGGTTCATCCGCTGCATTGTAAATATGTTCATGAAGTTAAACCGGCCATAATTCCCTCGGTAGTATCTATTTATACTGATTTACTGGGCTGACAGGAAAACCACGGGTACGGGCATTTACCAGTAGACCTTTTAACACCAGACATTTTGACAAATCATAGATTTAAGTGTGCCTTTTAAGCATTAATAACAACTGCATTCAATCAAGATATTCCAGTTCGGAGGCAGTGATATTGTACACGCTGGTTCACCAGAATAGCTCAACAGATACATCTGTGTCTGTCTGCAGCAAGTGCATCAGAACTGCACAGTTACCATGCGTGTGTGTTCTATTGTTAATATATCTTCTTGTTTACCAACCTTTCCCCTCTTATCCACTCAAGTTCCAGCAGCAGTCTCAGCTCCTTCTACGGCGACCATTTTTATCCCAGGTAGAAGCGCTGTCCTACAAGCCATGGCTCCCTTCCCTCTCAGACCACCAGCTCCAATCCCAAGTTCACTACCGGCTTTGGTACCAGCACCCCCCCGCCCACCTCCGCCCTCCGTTCCTGGGAGCGTTCGCTGCAGTGGCTGCTCTAAGGTACTGGTGTAACTTAGTCCTGCGTAACAAGAGCCCTCTGCATAGACGTGCATATTATTAGGGAAAAGTTAAAGAGTGAACAGCAATCATGTTCTATGCATTGTAATTGACATGGAATATTGCAATATGTACTATATTGATCTAGTTAATCACATGATGAGCAGATACAACTTTTAATGTGTCGGGGCTTTTGGCCGTGATGTAGGGTTTTATTTCTTGTTGGTTTAATGTCTCATGGTTTTGTAAATGGCCGTAGGTTCTGCTGAAAGGCCAAACAGCATTCCAAAGAAAAGGTTCCACACAGCTCTTCTGCTCCACGGTCTGTCTCACCGGCCACCTGCCTGCAGCCAACAAGAACCGGTCCTGTTTCCAGTGCAACAGGTACATCTTTGTTTCCACTTGACATCAGTATGAACTTAAATCAGGCCTTCATTTAGCTGACATAAGCTGGCAGTTGGCTTATATGAGTTGTATTCATTTAGCACATGAAAACACTCACGGTCAAACTGTGCACTCCTGCTTCGAATCAAAACTATGTATGTATTTTAGGGTGTTTTCTTGCAACCGGCAAATATGGGAGTGTAAAGTTTGCCTCAAGACATTTCCACCATATTGCTGACCACAATAGCTTTTTTGATTAAGTTTATAATAAAGCACCTTTTGTGGATCACTGCATTTGTTTTTTAAAATTTTTTTTATCTACTGTATGACCATTTAATTCTATGGTGGCCTCATTGAGAAGTTGTGTGTTCATTGGGGCACATGTAGAATCCCTAAATCCTATATACTGTACATATAAAAAGCTATTTTCCTCACCAAAACACTATATACGTGTGTGTTTGTAGGTTTTCTTTGCCGTTATTTCACTGTACACATCGTCATTTTTCTTTGAAGTGACAAGTGATTGTTTCAGTTTTAGTAATTTTAAGTTTCATTATGTATTCATATCTTTTTCCGCATGACTCAAAAAAGAAACGGTTTCATACCGACTTCTTAAGTTTTGTTGAGGTAATAAACTTGCTGACACTATTGCTTGAATGCATAATGTATGTTCATTTCACCTCAATGTTTAACTTTTCGTCCTCGTTTGCCTCTTTAGTACGTTCCATCCCCTAGCCTGACTACTGTATTTACCTCTTGTGCGTGTCTCTCTGCAGGGAGATCCTTCAGCCCAGGGACATGATCACGATTCCAGGAGACGACAACACCTTCATTAACTTCTGTGGCCAGTTCTGTCTGTCTGTCTTTAGACACAAGAAGAAACAGACTGACAAGATTCCTGATAAAAGACTAGAGAGGAAGCCCGAGAAGCCGCCTGAGAAACCAGTGGAGCGACCGCTTGACAAACCCGTTTGTAGTGTCTGTAGAGTCTCTAATAGGGTAAGAGACACAAAAGCCAGATTCTACAGTAACGGCAGATTTTTTTTTTAAGAAGCCAAATCGGCAGTAATTACCACGGTTCTCGTCTTTACGGTCTAATTCTTCCTTCTCCTTGTGTTTGACTCTTATCATCTTCGCAGCAAATCGAGCATGAGGTCACCCATCAAGGCCGTCTGCACAGACTCTGCAGCGATGCTTGCTTTGTTACATGGCGCAAGATGCGGCACCTAGCAATGAACTGCTGCGAAGGCTGCGGACTTTACTGTAGCAGCAGCTCAGGCTCCTGTCAGACGCTCACAATCGACAGATCTCAGCTCAACTTCTGTGGTCCCACCTGTATTGGCACCTACAAGCAGGTATGCATTTTTTAAAATAAGGATTGTTCAGAATTTATGGCAGGAACATGTATGATGAACATTAAGGCCAGTGGTTCTTAAACTTTTCAACGGAGAAACTTTTGGAGGAAGAAAAAAGAAATACCACTAAGATCATGAACATTGCTCTCACCTTTCTTTTAGTCATTTCGTACGTGCAACTAGAAAAACATAGCTTCCACTTAGAGTTTATCCAACCCCCTTTTTTTACTGACATGCTTGAAGTGTAAGTCAGCTGCCAAAGTTGTCAGAGATAAAATACACACTGGTCTCCTCCTCTCCACCGCTTTCACTGTGAACCCATTAGCAAAGTAGCCATCGTCGGAGGGCTTTACCAAACCTCATTTATGTACATTCAAAGCTTTGAATGAGGTTTCTAAATGAAGCTCTTAAAGAAATCAAATATGGAAGCAGAATGTTTAGTTGGAACTGATTAGATCTATATTTTTCAACAAATTTTGACTTTTGGAATGAGAACTGAGACCACATGTTTTCGTATTCGTGGCTCCAAATGGCAATAGGATGTGAGTGTCAAGTACCCACAAATCACATAACATCAGAAATCGCACACTGCACTCTCATGTTTGTCAAGTAAATGCAAACTTCTTGAATTCTATTTGTGTTTTTGCGTAGAGTTGCAGAAAGACTGTTGAGTGTGCCTACTGTCACAAAATGGCGATAGTGTCTTTCACCATCATGGAACGAGACCAAAGAGGCAAAGTCCAGCTTTACTGTTCAGCTGCTTGTGTGGAACGCAGTCGACCACCGCGACACATCCTCACTGGTAAGGACACACACACACGTGCCACAGGGTTCGTACGGTCAATGGAAAACCTGGAAAAGTCATGGAATTTTAAAATGGTTATTGGAAAAAAATAAAATCCCAAAAGTTTTGGAAAAGTCATGGAAATGTGTTATATTCATATTTTCATGTCGTTCATTTATGGTGAGTTGCCAGCCAGCGTTTCTCAGATTGGAGTGAGACGAGGAGAAAATGTGATGTGATCTTCGCAATAGAACATCTTTGACGTGTCGAGTCTTGGCCAATCAGCGTTCAGATGTGTACAGCGTCTTCATTTCCCTCCGTTAAAGTTTAATTTACGTTATGTTCCATTACAGGTCAGACTTGCTGGGTTAAGTTAACGTCCACTGCATGCGGAACTTTGTCGACTGTTAACGTTCGTCATTATCGCGATTTAGAAGGAAAAAACGTAACGTGATGAAACATGCAGCCCCCCCCATGTTCCGGTTCAGTTCACGCGGTCACTCATTAACGTTAAACCGGAACACCAGCGCATCTGGTTGCAGGTTGTTGTTTTTTTTTAACTCAAAGTAGAATGAGGATGATTTCGTAGTCAGAATAACTTTCATGACCACGATGATGAGGCCCAGATACTGATGAGATGATGAGGTGAAAGGGCTCCAGGGAGAGGAGGCTGGTTGTGTAGCGTAGCTTGACGCAGGGCTGAGATGTGAGTGGAGCTGGGCCTGGATAAAGGTGGAGGTCTAAACAGACCTCCACCTGTGAGTACAGCTTCCTGCTGTCAGTGTTTTAAATACAGTGGGTACGGAAAGTATTCAGACCCCTTTAAATTTTTCACTCTTTGTTTCATTGCAGCCATTTGCTAAAATCAAAAAAGTTCATTTTATTTCTCATTAATAAAATACTCAGCACCCCATCTTGACAGAAAAAAACAGAAATGTAGAAATTTT